TAAGTAATTAATTTTGAATGCTATTGTTTTAATAATATATGAAGCATGTTCCTTAAAAAACATTCTATTATCTACAATTACACCCAAATATTTAATTTTTCTTACTAACTCAATTTTATCATTTGATATTTTAATATTGTAATTATATTTTTTGTGCCAGTTCCAAAATTGAGGGTCGACTCTTTCAGTTATATTGCCAACTGCATATGCAGGAAATTTTCTGTGAAGATTCCTGCACTGACGCTTGTCAGATATAATCCAACTCCCTTCGTGGTATTAGCCAGGGGAGTAGTTGTTTTCTGATAGGCGTCAGTCCATTAAACCTATTGTGTAGGTATATGGAGACTTGCCTGAACGTTTAAAGTTCATTTGCTTTAGATTTGTTGACTGCCAGTCTTCAAGCATAGCCCACTGACTAATAAGACAGTTTGTGGTATATCGTTTGAAAGGTCTCTTGATTCTCTATACAAAAATGTTGAATTTTGAAATAAATCATGTGGCTACTGAAATTCGATAAAATACACTCAAAACTTATTTCACATGGAGGTATTGATAATAAGAAAGTAAGCAAAAACCATAGCAATGTTCTTTTTAGAAGACCTGTCACAGATGATTGTTCGGAAATGCTGATTGCTGACTCCGGACATCTTGAATGATGTATGATGTATGGAGCGCTTTCGAGAGTAGACTGTATTATTGTATGGAACTAGGTGAAAGTCATTTTGAACAATTTAACCATTGATTTTGTTTCCACTGATATTATTTGTTGTTGATTTCCTCATTAAAATAAAGGACAGCAAATTTTTTGTTTTTTTCTTGAATAAAACGTTCAACATTTAATTCAATAACGAATGAATCAATTTCGAAAAAAATCACAGAAGTAATAGACCCTTCAAATGATGTATCAGTTGACCTCCTAAGCAATTGAAAAAAATAGAAGGGGTAGTTACAGGGGGGTGAAGTTTCGGGTATGATTTTCATATCAGAACTTAGTCCCCTTAGGAATAACAATTGACGTGTTCTTTGGAATTTTCGATTACATGTCCGTTTCTGACTTACAGAAATGGCATGGAAATTCTACACGTATGAGTCACTACACCAGTGTATAGTAATCTTAAATGCAGCGAAGTAAAATGACATATCATTATGCTGATAAATTTTTATAGTGTTCACATAGTGGTATGTGTCGTTCACATCATTTTCATTACTTTCATGACGTTAATTTTCGATTCATCTAATATCTTATGATCACGACAATATTTTCATGCTATTAGTAGATAATCATTGAGCAACTTTTATAAATACTTAATTCATGACTTACCGAAACCAAGAGCACTCAAGAACAATGCATATTTTAAAATAATACCCATATCCATTTTAAACGAACCGTGGCGTCGCCAAATGCTTGGAAATCAATGAATCACTGATTTACTTTGTGAAGGGTCCTGATAAGTTATCGATTGATAAATTGATTTAAGGGGGAAGATGACATCATATCAGGCTTCGGTGGAAACGAGTACCTATATTACATGTCAATAACAGTATTAGTTTTAACCTTGTTAAATTTTGTCTGGGGGGCGACTGACTTACATATTGATACTATTTTGTACTCAACTAATACAATCAGGAAAAATAAAATTTGCGGTATGTAGACATAGGAATGAAAAACTCATTTGAAAATAACAAATTTCATTCTCATTATACCAATAACACAAAAGACTGGTTTTCACAAACTACACCTAAACGAGTGATTCAAGTGACTCAAGTGATTAATCACTTGAAAAAGCTAATGTTTAGCGAAACATGTTGTGATATATTTTTTCAATAAAGTTTGTGGAGATCAAATCGTTTAGGTGTAGTTTGTGAAATTACTATGGATCTTCATCAAGTAACGGCCGAATCAATCAGAAAAACAAAAGACTGGATTGAAGATGTGCATTGACCGTCATTCTGCTTGGTGGTAGTTGGTGAATGCGCCTGTTAAGCACGCTTCTCAGATAAAAACGAAAACTTCCTTTTTGGATGGGGGACAGAGGGTTACAACACCTCAAAATTCACTTGATCGTTACATAATGGTCTGGTATGTTCCAGTATATTTTCGAAAGTTCCAGACTATTTCTGAACATTTCAGAATATAAGATGCCGATATACAAGAAATAATTAAAAAAGTTCAACATCATAATTCGTAAGTAAAAATAGGTATTTATAATTATGGTGTTGAACTTTTTTATTTCTCGTAGCTATATATGTTTAAAATATTTTTTCCAAAAAAGATTCTAATAAACAATATATGAGTACTTTTTTTATATCAATTTCCACGCGAACGAAGTCGCATGCAAAACTAGTGCGAAATTATTACTTACTTATCAGAATGTGTTAGGAATCACACGTTAAAAGGTGAGACCTCGTAAATCCTTAGCTCGCCACAAGTTTCGACTTCTGAGGGTTGTCGTTCGTAGGGGTGCGACAGCTGGTTAACGGAAAACAGATTTTAAACATATTTTTAAAACATACAGTGTGTAAAAGCCAAATGGAATAAATTCATTATTGGTTACGGTACATATTTTAACAAAATCCCGAAACACGTCAAATTTAAATTATGGTTTGACATACTTTAACGGAAAAATGCTACCCCTACCATCAACCCCCGTCGAATGACAGGTACAACCCCCCCAATTTTTTAAATGGTAAGTACAGGCTTGTGATATATCGTTTGAAAGTTCTCTTCGTTCTCTATTCAAGAATGTTATCGTTTTCAAGTTTATTGCAACAATTTGCTGACATGAGTACCGATATCAGAAATCTTAGCCGCACAGATGCAGAAGGCTGTCATTCTTGGCTCACTGCGCTTGCTCAGGGCACATGATTCTCGGACCCAATGGTCACTTACCCTGCTCGAGGAAGCTATTGTGTAGCGAAACACTTGTCGCGGTTTTGTAAAGCGAGAATCAAATTAAATAATACTAGTAATAAACTTTATTGGACAATTCTTAGAGAGGTACAAGGTATGATTCAGTTATGATGAAGCACAATTGAGGGAGCGCTTTCAAAAATAAAAACAATACAGATAAAATGAAATAAAATGCAGCTGTATCACTACTCGCTTTATTCTTATTATGTATCATGTATTTTATACAGATTTATATGTTATTTTTCAAGTTTTCGTGAGTTTTACACAGTCGACGCCTACGCGAATATCATGTAGGAGAATTTTAAATCTATCAATGTTTTTTAAATGCTTCTAATGTTTTGTTGTATTAATTTGAAATCATAATTTGTTTTATTTACTTACAGGATTTCTCTACATTTAATATTGTGATCCGTGTTGGGAATCACAAGTTAAAAGGTAAGACCTCGTTAGTCCTAAGCTCGCACAAGTTTCTCAACTTCTGAGAGTTGTTCGTGTAGGGCCAACAGACAGATAGAACAGTATGTAAGTTTCGACTGAATTCCGTCGCTATCCCGAATTGAATGACACCTCGTTCATGTTTTACGGGGGCGGAGAAAAAAGTTTTAACTGACAGGAACTTGTCAACCAGAGTATCGAGCTGACAAATAGATTAACAGACCCGCGATCAACAACGTTTTTTTATTATGTATTACTGTCATTCGAAAATAATGGAAAACTTTGACAATGACTTAACATTTTCAGGAAAATATCGAAAAAAAATCGAGAACGCAATACGTTATTTTTAATAAGTTTTTGAGTATCATTTAGATACGTATAAATCAGTTGTGAAAGTTGGAATTAAATTTAAAATTGGATGAATGATATGAATAATATCACAAAACTGTGTTCTTATATTCTTTTTCATTCTTTTAATTACAATCCAGTTTTGAAAAATGAAATTACATGAGTTTTTTTAATCAAAAGTTTACCTTTATTTCAAAATATAGATCCTACAACATATGCAGATAATGCAAAAGTTATCCAAAAAGAAACCTTGATTGGTATTCCTGAATTACACAACGTTGAATTACATGTTTCACACAATGTAACGAACTCGTATTTAGTGGAAGCTCCTTTCAATTCGTCGCATTTAGACGAAGGAGCGCAACTTCTGTGTACCACTGAAGTTTTGCCATCTGAAACAAAAAAAGTAATGTTTGATTGATACGGATACATCCTTATCAAGTTCGAAAAAAAAATCATTTTACTAGCTCAACGGATTTGGCATTATTCTATGCAATACCATTATTCAGATCATGAGGTCTGGATTTTGTTTTTTGTTTTGTACTTATTGAATATTGAACAATTCCGTGATTGAACCAAAAAAAATTTCTACAGATTATTCATCTGAAATGTTTGTTTTATCTATTTTGCTCGTGTACTATTAATTTATTAGAGATTTTTTGAATAGTTGGCAAAAATAAACAGAATTTGAATAAAACCACGTCTTGTCATTCGAAGTATTTTCATTCAAAAACCTATTGAAACCAAAGGCAATTTCAGAACCAAAACTAACAAAGACACAAAGATTCTCCATACCAATTTCTCAAATTTTGTTTTCTTCACACTCAGACTATCAAAAAATAATCATAGATAATTATATATATTCAATGTATCTTTATCAAAGTAAATAAAGCTTGTTCAATTAGCAAACAAGATATAAGTGAACTGTTAAAAAATAAGGTGAATGCTCAAATTTCACGAGCTACGAAGCTACGAAGAAAACGATAGGAGATTTTTAATTTTTTTAGTAGATACACTCGTCTCGGACATATGTTCACAGTTTCGGCGGTTTAGCATGTTCAGTTTGTTGATGAGAGGCATAAAAGCTGGAAATATTTTGCGTGTGCGGCGATTTTCTGCTATCGAAAAAAATTGATCAAAGAATTTGCATCAGATTGTGTGTATAATATGGAATCGAGTGCTCAAAAACACTTGACATTTTGGCAGTGGCATACGGTGATTGTACTCTGAATCAGAAAAAAAGTTTACAAGCGGTAAAAGTTCCACAGAAAGTCGAGACGATGTGAATGACGACGCTCGCCCTGGATGCCTCAGCACATCAACAACTCAGCACAGCACACCGTATTCGCCAGATTTGGTACCCTGTGACTACTGGCTATTCGCAGACCTCAAAAAATGCTCACCAGTAAGGAATTTCGCTAGAATGAAGATATTATTACTGAAACTGAGGCCCATTTTGAGGCAAAATATGAATCGTTCCACAAAAGAGGTATTAAAATGTTAGAGCGGCCCTGAAATTATTGTGTGGCTCTTGATGAAGATTACGTTGATGATAAAAGGCAGTTTTGAACAAATAAAAAACGCGTTTTTCTTCTTAGCCCATGTGTTATAATCACAGTGTTTTTGACAGAAAATACTCGCCAAGACGATATATTGGTTTTTTAAGAAATGTGCACCCTCTTCATTCGTTTCAAATCATTTGTCTGTGCCAAATTGAATTTTTTTGTGGATGAAATATTACAGAGATTTGTGTCTTTCAAGAATTACGAAAAATATAACAGAAAGAGATTTTTTCTCTCTCAGTCAAATATCCTCTTACCAATTTTTATTCTATTGATATTATTTTACTCACCTGATTGTATGTATTTAATACAAACGAATGATGCAGTACAGTTTTCTTTCAGAACAGAACTGACCTTCAAGTCGTTACATCCCGAAATCCCACTACGGATGACTTCTTCGCATTGGTAACATACGATTGCGGATCCTGAAAAATTAACATCGTATACGATGGAATTGGCCGATACTTGATGAAAATCCATAAATGAAGTATTCAAAAAACACTTTATTGTGAGATTTTCAATCAACAGTTTTACAAAAACGCAACATGTGTTTCGCCATACAATGGCTTCTTCAGGCGTGTATTTACGCCCGAAGAAGCCATTGTTTCACACTGTCACACATTAAAGTGATTTTTAAATACGTTACTTAGCATCGTGTAAAAAATAAGTGAGAATATCTACCAAACTCTCAACTCATTTCGAATGCATCTAATTGATTTATCATAAAATATTGTTTTCACATATCATCAAATATGATTTTTAAATTTGTTTCAGTGATTTTGGGTTGTTTCAAAGGTTTTGTCCATTTTAATGTCATGTATTTTTGTAGTTCCATATATCAATGAATTATTATTCTACTGTGTCGTAGTATATACTGATTGATAGATAATTTTGTTCTCTATACATTGGAGCTGTTCATTTTTCCAAAATTAATTTTTTTGCCTCTTTTGATGTCGCTAAACGACTTTTGGCCTATTTTTATCTACGAATTCAGATTAAACCAAAGCATTGCCGAAACAGACCGAAAAATTAATATGGCATTTGGCAATTATAGTGTTAATGAACGCACCGTTCGACGTTGGTTTGCCAAATTCCGTTCCGGAGATTTTAGTCTCGACGATGAGCCTTGAAGTGGACGACCTACAGTAGTAATACAGTCTCCACCAGTCTCCTGGTGGAGACTGACCCATCACCAACAGTGCGTGGGATGGCGAACGGATTGGACGGCAGCTCCCATGCGGTTTTTGATGGTTGAAAACGTATTGGAAAGGTCAAAAAGCTCAAAAGTAGATTCCTCACGATTTCAACGATCGATAGAAATTGAACCGTTAGTAGGTATACTCTTATTTGCTTTTGCGGAACTAAAACGATGTATGTATGTATGCATGTATGTTTGTTTGTTTGTATGTATGTTTGTTTGTAACTCTCAAGCTCGGGATCTATATTGACAGAATTATCGGCATTATTGCTCGATTTATTCGCGAGCAGATGGCGCTGTACGTAACCTCATTGATATTTCTTGATCTATTCGCGGGCAGATGGCGCTGTATGTAACTATCAATTATTGCTTGATGTGTTTGCGGGCAGACGGTGCTGTACGTAACTATCAATTATTACTTGAGCTATTCGCGGGCAGATGCCGCTATACGTAACCTTTTTGATAGGTTGTTATACTCTACGTTATACTCTAAACTATGCATCTTCATTACACACTTTATATTTTTACTATATCTGTTTAAAATCTGTTTTTCCGTTAACCAGCTGTCGCACCCTTACGAACAACAACCCTCAGAAGTCGAAACTTGTGCGAGCTAAGGATTAACGAGGTTTTACCTTTTAACGTGTGATTCCTAACACGGGTTGGACGATAGCAAGTAAAAATCGATTGTTCAGCCTGGAGTTTGAACCACCGACTAACACGGCGGTCAATTCGAGTGAGTGAATAAAGCACCCACGTCGAACCGATCGGCTACCGTCATATACATTTATTAGATGTAGTTTCAGAGCCTCAATGTTTAGTTTCATGTTTTGTACTAATGGGTGCCTCTGATTCATTTGGTTACATTTTGTGAAAAGGTTCAGTATACATACATCCTGTGAAAAGGTTTCGGCTTCCCACTTCATCATTTTCTTACAAAAAAATGTGGGAATTTTCAAAAGAAAGGAAGAAAGCAAATAATTCCAAAATTAAACCTTTACAAAGATGTGTAGATCATACAAAGGAGTAACTTTCACATAAAAACTGGAAGAAAAAGTCCTTTCGAAACAACTACTTCTATATGAGCATTGAATTATATAATGAACACTTTTTTCTTTTTTCCATTCAGTTTGTACTCTAAACATTCGTTAAGAAATCAATTAAAGGAACAATTTGTTCAGGCCAGTCTCAACTCCTTACACTGTAGGTTAATGAACTGACGCCTATCAGAAAACTACTTCCCTGGCTAGTACCACGAAGGGCATTGGATTATATCCGACAGGTGTAAGTGCAGGATTTTTCACTGAAGTTATTCCTGCATATGCTGTTGGCGACACAACTGCCGGAATCGATTTTCTGGAACACACTTGCAGATCGGTTTCGGGCTGTTTGGCCACTCGTCAGTGAAAGGTCATTGACATAAAGTCAATGATTTTCGATAATTGAAAATCGGAAATCATTGTTGATTTCCATAGCCCCGCTCAAATCACAGATGCTATTTTCTAAATAGGTAATTCATATTCCTAGAATACAACTACATCAAATCAAATCATTATACCATTTGAAGTGATGATAATGATTATTAGAAAACTTGTTTGGTTTTTTGTGAGAAGGAACCGATCAAAAACAATTGAATAAACGGTAACTAACCTGGTGGTATATTCTGACAAACGAAGAATACCACGGTAAGAACACAAAATAATTTGACACCCATTTTGTAGAACAATATTTTCACTATATCGAGTGAAAGGTGGAAAACTAGTTCTGTTAATCACGAATGTGTCTACATATTGATAAGATAAGACTAGATATAAACGGAGTTGAATCACAGAGTTCGGAGAAGAGACCTACCTCACTCCATGAGGCTAGAGATAGTAAGTGAAGAGTGCAATGAGTATTCACAAAACATGGCTCCTACATGTCAGGTATCTCCTGTCAAATGTCGAATATGTTTACTTATCTTTTATAAGAAAATTCTGTGTTTACATATTACCTAATGCTTACTTTCTGTACAATAACATATAATTCATTACAATACTAAAATCAACAGTTCAAAAATAACTTTTCAAAACGCTCAAAGGTGCGAACTCGTTTCCCCCTTTTCATAAAAGAGGATGTATGCATCTCCACTTACAAGCGATTTTGGTGAAATTGCTGACACGTGTGAATCATTGTATTCGTGCCACGTGCCAGTATAAAATGTCTGCAGAATGCTGTAGGTAGACTGTAGGTAGACCCACTGTGATTGGAAAGTGCATATAGATTATAACGACAAGAAGTCACATTTTCTGCTGCATAATTGTTCATATCTAATCCATTTAGAGGAAATTCGATTGTAACATTTAACTTGCCTCTAAATCTTTCTGTTAGAGAAAATCTTTTGAAATGAATGACTAAAATACGGGGAAACTTATGAATCGATAGAGACTTTGTGTATTTTCTTCTTTCCATGCAACTTGAACACGTCGGTTTTTCATGTCTATCCAAAGTTTCTCTCTTGTGAAGAAATCCAAGCACTGTGATAAACTCAATTGCCCAGTTCTTTGTGGTATGGGGACTGATAAATCCCAGAAAGGATCGAAGGTTACATATGAGTATCCACAATGTGTGAATGGATTTCAATCGACCAACGAAATTACCACAATCTTAGAGTTATATGTACTCAAATAAATCAGTCATGACTCTTGTGCTTTTCCGCTGTCGCTCAATTTTTCGTTAATCTCTGTAAAGGTTGGTTTAGGTTTCTCAATAATTCTATTAACGTCATCATGGAAACCTTCTGAAAGATAACGAAGGAACTCCTGGGCGTTTTGATGCGCATGACCTATGAATCAGGGGGCAAAACTCTGAATCTGACTTTTTAAGGAGACTGTGTTCATTGCTCTATTAGATGAATCTTATTCACCACAATTCCTTGATAACTTCTGCGAAAGCTTTGATTAAAGCACCCTCCTTACTAGAAATATTAGTGTTGAAATCTTTCATGTACTCATCCTTTTTCAAATATTTCAGTAACCATCTCGTATTTGAAAAACATTGGATTTCACTGTTCATGAAACAGGTGTTGCCAATATTTCTCAACCCATTAAGCTCAAGGGTTATGTCTGAGGAATGTATCACTGATCTAATTGTGTTGTAGCAGTTGGTGATACGTTCGCCATCGCTGTTTTCTTTCCAGTAATCACGGATGCAATGATTCTTCCCATCATATGTAATTTCAGATGTCCGGGTGGACATGGTCAATAAAGGAGTACAATCGAACCTAGTAGTTAATGGTATCTTTAATTTAATAAGTAATCATCGATCCTAATCGAAAATTGACCAAACAAGTTACACTACCCACCAGAACTACAAGATTATTCTGAACGTGCGACAAACTTGGCGTCACCATTAGGTGAACTAGATTGGTGTGTTGAAACGTTTTCTCCTTATTGGGAGTACGATCATGTGTAAAAACCTCCTGATGCACTACGCCACGGTGATTGAAGAAAACAGCGAGCAATACTTAGACATTTGATTGACTTGCCGTGCTTTTTTTGGTCTTAGCAATCCTGGGCTTTTTCATTGAGACGGTTGGACTTTGGTTTCGATGTCATAATCATGTATCCATGATTCGTCACCGGTTGACGTCATTCAACAATTCCTGAGCGATGCTTCGCTATCCCATGCTTCATGCCCAAAACCGCCAACCGATATGCAGACATCCTCAGCAACTTCTCTAATAGTGATTCGTATATTCTTCGTAACAATTGTTAGGAATATAAATACAAATTTGAATTGAGTTTTCCAAACATTGTTACGCCTCTGTATAATTGTCTGTGTCTGGTTGTCAAGGGATGCGTGCCTACCCTCGAGAACCAATAGCGTGGGTCCAGTTTTCTTTACCTCTCTCTGAAGGGTACCCTCGTTCAGGTAGATTAGTTAGGGAAGCTATGAATTATACTGTAGACGACCCCTCCCGATATAGAAGGCCCCGACACTCTGTCGCCCTCATGTCCAGCCCTCATGTCCAGCGTTAATAGATGAATAATATATTCATCCATCTCACCCCAAACAGGTAGGGGTGGGTACACCGTGAAGGGCGGCACTGATGTCTGAGGACATTCATGTCGCCATCTCATCATCAGTCATGACCCATTTGTTCCTCTGGAGCCAGGCTTCAACCTGTCCGAAACCAAGATGGCTGTTGTTCAGGCAGTTTGGGTTTAGCATAACGTAAGAAAGGTTTATTGGGTGTATTTCATTAGTTTGGACTTCCATTGTCTAATATAATATTAATTGATTTGAAAACCCTGAAAAAACAATTGAAAATTAATAAGATTAACCGAAAATAACAAGTTTATTAAACAAAAAACTGAAATTACAAATGAAATATTAATAAAAGCTGAAAAAATTAAAATAAAAATTATTATTAACAAAAAATGAAAAATAAAAATCAAAAGATTTCTAATCAAGTTATGTCACGACGTTTCGATTGTTAGTATCCACAATCGTCTTCGGGTGATCACTGGACTTTTTCCTCCGAGATCTGACTATTTATAGGTCATTCGAGTGCTTTCAACTATCCCCTCTTCACTCTTTCCGCTTCATTGGTTTTTAGCGGGAGATGACCGTTTGGCGGGAATTGGTCGTCTTTCGCTTGATTAGAGGTTTCCATATGTTACGTATCTCTACGCTAGCTTGACTAAATGCGTTGTTGGACAAAATATACGCGGCTTTTTTGAATTTTCTCCTAAACCAGTGTTCCTCTTTGTGGATGATTTCAGCTTGAGCCCACTTGATGTTATGTTGATGAGTCCAAACATGCTCTGCTATTCCGGATTTGCTGGTTTCTTCTTGGTGTGTGTGTTTCTTGTACTCAGCAATGCGAACTTTCAATGGCCTCTTAGTTTCACCGATGTATGATTCTCCGCACTCGCAGAGTACGCGGTAGAAGCAATTCTTGGAATCGCGGTCCGCATTTGGTGGACCCAATCCTTCTTATCCTTTCCGATAATCCTCTAATGTAGGGAAGTACAAGTACTGGTTGTGGCGGCTTCTCTTCCTTGTGGAGTTCTTGCTGTTTTCTAGCTAAGGCCTCTTCTACCATCACTCTGGAGTAACTGTTCCGTTGTAGGTCATTTTTGATGATGCCTATTTCCTTTTCGAGACCTTCCTTTGTATTACAGAGCCCAAAAGCACGGTCTAGTAGAGTCTTGATGATTCCTCTCTTATTCGATTGATGGTGGTTGCATTTCTGATTCAGATACTGTGGACTTCCTTATCCATTGTGAAAGTGATGGAAGGACATACGTTGTTAATATGCTTCAAGAAAGTGTTTAGTTCTGCATTCCCATTGTTCTATATTATGATTGTTATTTTTCGGTTAATCTTTTTAATTTTTTACAGATTCTTTCTGGGATTTCAAATCAATTTATATTATATTAGACAATGGAAGTGCGAACTGATGAAATACACCACGAAACATTGTCAACCACCTTCAAACAAACGTCTATTAGGTGTATTTGTAGTTAAGTGAGAAGTGTTGTTTATTGTGGAGAATATCAATGGTTCTTATTTGTATAAGCTTAGTGATAGTGTTTCTCACATTAAATTAAACTGATCAAACCAATTGTCGTATTGGACATTCTGTGAAATCTGTAAACGAAGTGTGACAGAATGAAGTGTGTTACTTAATTACCTACTACGCATTATTTAATGGTATATAGGGGGCCAGCAAGCCCAAAAACCAAAATTGGGAACCAACAACAATTTTCTTCACTTTGCCAACATTTTCATTGGTTGTTGATGTGCTGGGGCATCCAGCGCGAGCGTCGTCATTCACATCTTCGCGATCTTCTGTGAAAAACTTGTACCAGTGGTAAACGTTGTTCTGATTCAGAGTACAATCACCGTATGCCACTGTCAATATTTTCAAGTGTTTTTGAGCACTTAATTTCATTTTTTACATAAAATTTGATGCAAATTCTTCAATCCATTTTATTCGAGAGCAGACAATCACTGAACTAGCAAACACTTGTAACTTTTATGCCTTTCAGCAACAAAATGAATATCTCAAACAGCTGAAACTGTGAACATATGCTCGAATCGAGTGTACCAACATAAAAAAACGACTTTCGTTTTCTGTGAATTGGCGCTAATTTTGATATACTTTTAAGTGAACTAGACAAAAGACGTGAGTCTTTTTGTTACACATCGCTTTTATGTTTTCATCCAAATAACTCGATCAAAAGCAGGCTAATGAGATCTGGTGTGGCTACAAATGAGGCTCAGTATGCAATCAATCATACTTTCTATGTATATCTGGTTGTGCTACTTAATTCGCTTTATCACAGTATCTAGGCAAGAGACAAAAAACACAAATCTGAATAGCTGATAAGAAATCTCATCAAAGCTTTCTTGCATTCCACTGTCTCTTTTGATAAATCCATAATGATATAATTGTCCGTTTATAAAATTTACTGATTTTTTTGGCAGGAATATGTATGTAATGAAATCTAATAGAAATTTGAAAGTCCTCAATAATAGTGAAGCTACATCTTTGTACCACGTTTTACTTCAAATGGTCTCATGGGAAACATTTCAGTATTGTAAAGTTGTGCCAATTCCACCATGATCCCCATGTCGTTTTCGCAAAGTCAGTCCAATTAACTAGCGAATGTTTGTTTGAGGGTGGTTGACAATGTTTCATGGTGAATTTCATTAGTTTGGTTTTCCATTGTCTGATATTATACAGGTTGATTCAAAAGTACTTTGACAAACTTCAGGAGGTGATTCCTCACAATATTCTAATATGAATTGTTCAAATGAATAAATGTCCGGAAACGCTTCGTTTCCAAGATACAGGAAGTTTTATTTTTATTTTCGTTTTATTCAAATAACTTTTGAAATACTGAACTTAATTAAACGAAACTTGGTAATAGGAGGTTTTTGAGGTGTCGAATTCGAACCTGATGTTCTTATTGCTCTTACTCGTAGGGGGCGCCACCTTCACGTCTTTTTCTTTTTTAAAGATTCACAACTTTTTTTGGCGTACTTCTACATTTTTTCAGTAAAAAAATCGATTCCTCTATCATATCTACGTAAATAATCTACCCTTGTTACTAGTCGCTGTAAGCAACCGTTTTCTAAATATTTGGACTCGAAAACTTCAAGTCGATTATTTGATAATCGATGCATGTTGAAGTTATAACGAATATTTTGCTTTTTTCACAGAAATGCTTTGGAAATGAATTTGACGTTTTACTCGTTTGAAGAGGTCATTACTGTTGGGTACGTTCCTTTATGACATCAATAAGCGAAATAGTTATTTTTGTATCAAGGGTGCATAATCAGTATTTGTTTTAATAAAATTTGCAAGAAATGTCAACATTTCATTTCAGGAAATTTTGAATATGTAGAATAAACTAAAATAAACGAAACTAAATTGTATTCAAATAAATTGTTGGAAGTGTCCACCTTCAGCGAAGATACAGGCAGTCAGTCGTCTAGTCATTGAATCTCTTGGTAAATACGTCTTGCTTCGCGCGCATTGCCATCCGCAAGGCTCTTCATCTGCGCGGGAAAAAATTGGGAGGATGTTAAACACACCACCGAAACAAATTTACAGAATATATATGCATGGTTGAATTTAAATAAGCTTATCCTAAATATTAATAGGACTAAATTTGTCATTAGTCATTAGTCAACCACATAATTTGTCTCTGAAACTACACTCTATAAACTGCCACAAAAATGTATGTGGGTGTTCTACTATTAAAAAAGTATCATCAATTAAATATTTAGGGGTAGTCCTAGACCAACACATACGATGGTCTGATCATATCATGCATGTCAACAAACGCCTTAAAACACTTATACACAGTTTTCATTCTCTAAGAGATATCCTCTCCAGAAAACACCTCATGATGCTCTACAACTCCCCAGCCGAGTCAATTCTCTCTTACTGCATCACAATATGGGGTGGAGCACATGGCAGACAGGCAATTTTGCCTAGGCTAATGCGGTCGATCTCGAAATTTATTCTAAAGAGCTATACGTTAAAATTTCGATACTTTGTACTCTAATTTTAAGGAAATAAAAGTTATTATTATTATAAAAAAAATAAAATTAAAAATTATAATGAATAACTGAAAATAACAATTACCTATAATAAACAAAAAATCCGGAAATGAAATTACAATGAAATAAAAATAATGAAAGGAATTGAACAATTGAAATGAAATAAGGATTGAAAGATTTCAAGCCAAGTTACTTCACGATGTTTCAATTGTTAATATCCACAATTGCCTTCGGGTGATGACTGAACCGAGAACGCTTTCACCTATCCCCTCTTCCCTCCCTCCGCTTTGTCCCTCTTTTATAGATACTTTCATCTTTCATAAGACTTGTTCAAGTGACTTGGCACATTTGATTCCACCAATAGCGGTACATAATATTAGAGATACGCGACGAACTGAGGCTACTCATCGTTTTGAGGTTCAACTCAATACACCTCGAACTCATTCATTTGGAGAACTGCGTTTATGTGGAGTAAACTTCCTGAGAACGTTCTTCCAAATGAATTTAATCTCCAGGATTCAAATCAAACGTGAATCTTTACTTTCGCAGATGCACCGTTCTTAGAGAGGCATTAGAATTTTCTTGTAGAGCTTCCGTTATGCCCTTAAAAAAATCGGAAGGTAGAAGTCATCACACCACTCTCCTCAGCAATCTACGGAATTGATCAGATGAAAAAATAAAAAAATCGTTGGACGTAGTAATTATTTACATATTTAGTCAGCTTCCGCTACGCCCAACGATTTTATTTTTTTTATCTGATCAATACCGTAGATTGCTGAGGAGAGTGGTGAGATGGCTGCTTCCTAATAGGTTCTTCCGAATTATTTCTTAGTTTTCAGTATCTACATCATCTACATTATATATATTTTTTTATTAAAACCGTTTAACATTTTAATTCTACTAAACAAATTGAGTCACTACGGCATTCGTGGTCTCCCACAAATTCTTATGTCCAATTATTTAACAAATAGAGTCCTGAGAGTAAAAATTGGGAATGAGGTAAGTACGGAGTCAATAGTGAAAATCGGGGTGCCTCAAGGAACAGTGTTGGGCCCAATACTTTTTCTTGTGTACATGAATAATATAGCAAAAATAGATGGTCTAGCACACCTTATTTGTTATGCTGACGACACAGCCTTCATCTGCGCGGGAAAAAATTGGGAGGATGTTAAACACACCACCGAAACAAATTTACAGAATATATATAAACATAAAACATTTCTTTACTTATTTTATTTACCACTTGTATTTGTAACTAAGTTACTGCAGTTTCGTCCTATAAGTGCAATTTGAAATGAATTAAATGGAATGAATAAAATTCGTTTGAAACATAGGAAGTTTTATTTCTCATTTTTCATGATGATCTCTTAGTCTCTGGAGTTTGAATTTTTTCTCTATTAATAAGGAGGCTGTATATGAAATATGTCTACAATATTCCAAAAAATGCAAGAATCAAATGATAAAGAGGATGTATTTGAAACAGGAAAAGTGGAAATAAGTACTGCTACATAACACACCCTGTATAAATGGTTCTTGAACAGGCCCTCATTCATTTATTATCCATTTTATTACATTTGGTTGACGTACACTGTATATAGTTATGGAAAATAAAATGATACTAGAGCTTATTGGAGAAAACTGGTTCAAAATTGATTTAACACGTTTTTTTTCTTTTTATCTTTTTGGAAAGAGTCAATTTTTGTGGCTGATACAATTACTATTATTCAGTAACTGACCCTTACAATAAATATTCATCGTTATGTAGAATGGTATATTACTCAATCCTGAATGAATGACTTCAAAAACAAAACAAATGGTTATAAATGTTATAATAGAGATATAATCAACAAGGTACTGGCTGCAAGACCCATGGATAAACTTGATACGAAGCCAGCTCCAGTGACAGTCTGATTATTACATAAGTGGGTGTTACAGGTTTCACAGGATACAAATCCAGGTGTATTCTTCACAGTATCACATAAGGTTTCAATCCCACAAGATCTTTGAATTGTTACTGGAATCATAAATCAAATACTTATTACAAAATATTTCATGTACCTAAATTTAGTAGGTGGTACACACCGGGAATACAATTTTTTTTATGAAAATATTACATCAATAGCAGAAAACTAATGTCATGTAACCTCAAATAAGTTATTTGTTTCTCAAACCTAAAATGTATCATTAGACCAGTGCCGAAGCCTTCGAAAAAGGTAAAAAGTGAAAGAAAATAGTGGTAGGATGAGACTCATTGGAAAAGGACAGAAATGACAGAAATGAAGAGAAAAGGTATTTACAAGCGATTTAAGGTTGGGAAGTGGAAGAGGTGTTTTTAAGGGTAAAAACCTATTTGTCGCGATTGCCGGCAAAACTACAAGTCCTATAGAAAAAAATTAAATAGCAAAGTTGTAGGTAATTAAAAATCTACAACTTTTGTACTCACATTTTTTTTTCACATCACCTCAAAATGTATGCAAATTATTCAAATGAACGAATTTTTAGTTTTTCATTTTTATATTCTACAAAAAAAATTCACTTCACAAGTGCATTGTGCATGTCGTGGACGGTGGCTTTTTACTGCACGAAGTAATTTGGCAGAAAAATAAAACGGCGAAATATTTGCAAGCAGCAAGCAGCTCTATCATTCTCAATAGGTACCTCGAAATTGAAAAATCAGTTACTGTGACAACAGTACCAGCAGCTAATTCAACTATAGTCCGTTCATAATTTGTTGATAGCTCACTGCAAGTCTGACCCTCATTAGATAACTGAAATACAGAGAGGACAGCTAATATGATATAATAACAAAAACCAAACTAAAACTGGCAGTTTAAGATGTTTTCGACTAACCCACCTTGTATCTGAAGAAATACAATACAGCTATAAAACTTTTAATCCGATTATGTAGGTATTTTGAGTGGAAATGAGTGACCAGTGTCGTAGAGTATATGATTAAAACATTAGTTACTTTAAATAAATAAATATATTNAGCAATCAAACAAAACAAGCAGGAACGAAAGGTACGTATATGTTTGTAGGAATATGAAAAAAAGTTACTCACGCACTGCACAAAATTCGCAAAATAAATATTAGAGACGTTAATTACTGCCGTAGACGCCGAAACACCAACGAGCCGTAAATTAAATGCGATTAAAAAATGTACTAAACCAAAAATTATTTTCGTTCGTAACAACTTCACCCTTTCAAGGCAAGTTTCGAATATAAACTGAAGCTTTATATTTAATGAATAAACACCTCAGGAACCTCCGCCTATGATTTTACGAGTTTTACGACCGTTTTATGACTTGGGCCCTCATTTTGTGCTATCGACAAATTATGAACGGACTATAAAAGAGGAGAACGAAGTCGCAGAAAAACCTCAGACAATGGTCCAGAGTTCAATTATCAAAACCATACGAAAATACCATTTTTGCAACAATTTTTTTATCTATCGAGAAAAACAAGGACACAATAATAAAAACGTTAATGGAGACATTACGTCACAAGGATTTTTTTGTAAACAAGAAGAAGAAGATGCTGATGCTGACGTGATGAAGACCTCGATAGGAATTGCCCGGAATATTATAAAGCTGTCATAGTTGTGGGTCAAAATGTTGATCTTTTGGTACTTTTGAATCAATTGAATTTAACTAATCACGACATTCATTTTCACAAGCCAGACGAAGACGATGATGGTCTTGAAGATTTCGAAGATCTACTAGAATCGGAAAGGTTTCTCGAATGTAACGATAAAGAAATACCATCAAAAGAGACAATAACTGCTGGATAAGTGATCAGAATTCAATATAAGGTATACATAAATAACAAGATTGATGTATTTAAAATATTGTAATGAATAACGTGGTCAGTATGAAGCATTTATGATAGATTCTGATGAACTCATCCGGATGTGGAATAAGAGTAACTATCTTTCCCTCAACTCTGACAAAACTCTGAATCTCAATTTACACTGGTTGAACAAAGAGATGAAGATCCAGTAAAATTACTCGGTGTACACCTTGACAACAGCTTGAATTTTTCATATCATATCAAGTATCTTTCAAAACGTCTCTCAACTGCAAACTAACTGCAACTCAAAGCAAACTAACGGAAGATTATTTGAGGATATCATATTTTTCATTATTCCATTCAACAATGACGTACGCTTTGATAGTATGGGGATCCTCGAGTCACTCAGCTAAAATATTTACCTTACAAAAAAAAGTACTCAGGATAATGGCTGGGAAAAGTTTCAATGAACATTGTAAACCAATTTTTAGACAATTTGGAATTTTAACACTTCCTTCCTGTTTTATATATGAATGTTATCTATCTATCTTTGACATAACTTCAATTAGAATTTAATAAATCGGCTTTTTTACTGAAAAAATTTGCAAGTCACATTTTTTATATACAATCCCCTTTGAATCTATTTGAACTATTTTCGAATGCTTTGTGCAATCTTTATTTTTCTTGGGTTTGAAATTTTTCTGTTTATTAATGTAACACGGAATCTTACATTTCTCAAGTAATTAAAGTAAACATTTTTATAAATAGCTCTAAATGTTACATAATGATGAAAAAACATTTCTCATTCGAGTTTTTACGTTTTTTGCATTTTCTGGGAATAGTTGCAATAGTAATGTATATTTTTTTACACCATCAAAAATTAGAGATTTCAACGAACAAGAAGCACACAGATATATTGATGTGAGAAATTTCTATTGAAAATTTGGGTGCTTTTTGATATTAAATTAAAATAAGGGAAAAAATGAACATTTCAAATCTGAAAAATTACAAATGAAAAGATAATTTCTTACCAAATTTTGTAAAAAAAATTGTAGTAGATATAAATAAAGAACCATAAAATCGGATATTTGATTTTTTTGCATAAATTCCGAAGTTATGTGAAAAAACTGTGGATATAAAAGTTGTTACCTACAACTTTGCCATTCAACTTTTTTTTTCATAGTTTTACCGGAAATCGCGTTAAACCACTTTTTACCCTTAAAAACTCACCCACTCCATTTTCCGCCCTCAGATCACCCGTGAATTATTTTTCTATTCATTTTCTTCATATTTTCTTCCTTTTATAAGGGTTTCATCCTACTACTATTTTTTTTTGGTTTCGAAAATTATCGGCACTGGACTATAAGATCACTTCGGTAATTAATTTTATAGCTCACACAGTTTTTATTTCGTCCTCGTAATGCTTCAAATAAATTAGATGAATAGGCGTAGTTTAAAGTTGAATAGACTGGTTTAAGGCTGAATCGAAAAATTAGACAAAACAAGTATTTTTCAGAAGAAAAAATAGTTAAAGAAAAAATGACATTAGTATCTCTATTAACTTTCAAAGTAATTACATATTTGGAAAGTCGTTGATTTAAGAAAAACAACTTCAGAAAAAACAGATGAAATAACTGCAATAAAAAAAGTTAATTTAGATTGTTTTTCTCATGTTCAGAGATAAGTTGATTGTGGAAATTGTGAAATAAAGTTGGTGATAAGCGGTTATTCAAATGATTTCAAACATCCCTATAGTTTTCCGAGTAAACAAAATAATATAAAAACTCTAAGAAGAAAGGCATTCACAAAATATTCATGTACGTGTTCAATTTGAAATTTGTGAATATTCTTGCGGCTTATTTTTTAAAACTAAGAGTAAGTTACTTAGCAGCTTTGTAAATATTGTCTCACAATTTTCCACAAAGTGATGAAATATATGCATGGAAATGGTTGATTGGAATGAAGTTTCGAAATATCTCACCAACAAACGTTGAAATTGATATTCGATCTCCCAATAATTATTCAAATTTTAGTATATGCATGGAGATCTCGTATAGAGAGTTGGTTACTATTGGAAAATGGTTGAATGAAATAAAATAAAAAAAATCAAACGGAACGGTAATGAGACCTCATTGTACGAATGATAAAAGACTTATCATGAGGAAATTTGGGCAAAGTATCTGTGACTTATGAAAAACTATCGACATTGCTTTGTGACTGTTGAACAGTTATTATTGCACGTCTATTATTATACATTGCTGATGATGATAATGACTTCCAACCTTCAACACCATCAGTATTTGTCCATGATAAATGAAATAATAAAACACCTGATTTCGATGATGTAGGCAGATACCAAGTACAAGATTTGAATGAGACAACGTTCATATCGTATTCGAAAATATGAAGCATAATAAAAGGATAACTTTGATCCAGTAGTCTAAGCAAAAACTAGAACAAAGGGAATTTTGAAACGGTCTAGAGACTCTCCTATCCATTGACAGTAATAAAAACTAACCAAATAGAACGAAGGATTGTAAAAAATTAAGAAGATAGAAGAGAAGGGAAACAACGACAAAGAAGGCTCTCAATGTTGTTAAATCTAACAACATTGTTTGTTGTGCATCTAATATCAATTGGGGTGCCGATAGAAAATTGCTCCTGAGACTCTACAAGTCGCTCGTTTTATCCAAGATCGACTAGGAAAATAGTCGGTTGCATCATTATAGAGAATTGTGGATAATTATCAAAGTTTCCGGGATGAGTGTATTACGAGCGACTATATTTAGAATTCATTACGTGAAAAGTTACCACGCACTGCATTCTAACCTTTGATTTTTCATTGAATAAAATGGCTATGTACACAAAATTTGATGCAAATTCATAGCAGAAAACATCCGAACACGTAAAACACTTCTAGCATTTTTGCATCTCACTTACAAAATAAACACGCTGAAGAGCTGATACTGTGAACGTATGTTCAAGACAAGACCTCTAATATGCTGCATTGTAGTAAGCAATACTAATGTGCCACCTGTATATAGATAGATAAAATTTATTTGTTCAGGATAAAAATACAGTACCCCTGAGGACATAGAACATGTTAGTATAAATATAAACATATATCACAATAATATTAGGTTAAAAGAGGAAGGAAAGATGTACAGTATATAAACTGCACAAAAATATATGCATACATATAAAAATATTAATACGTGTAGATATAGGCTCTTACGAGTACATGATTATAGTAAAAGCAGTCAAATAGATCAAATAATAATAGTATCATTTTAATACTCGTCACTGTTTTTCAAGTAAAAATGCTTTTAATTTTATTTTTAATATTGTTTTATCGAATTCCCTCATTGTAAGAGGGAGTTTGTTGTAAATTGTTATTAGAGTATGCAGTACGTTTTTTTGAATAAATGAGAAGTTTGGAGTATTACAGGTCAAGTATGACTTATTTCTTGTACAGTATATGTGTGTAAAAAGTATAGTATCAAGAATGTACTGGCTATATAAGGTTATTATTTTATTTTTTATAAATAAGGGTTTACAACTATCAGTTTGTTTGTGGTTAAATATAATTCTAAGGCATCGCTTTTGCATCTTAAATATCTTGGGGACATCTGTCGAAGCACCCCAGAATATTAAACCGTACTTGATCCTTGAGTGAATTTGTGCGTAGTAGACACACATAGCAGCGTTTATATCTATCGATCTTGTTAGTACTCTTAGAGCATAGCAGTATTTTGCAATATTTTGTATTATTGAGGTTAGGTGAGATTTCCAGTCCAATCTAAGATCAAGCTCAATTCCCAAGAACTTTGTACTTTTGCAAGCTGATATTGTTGATCTACCATCTGAGGCTGAGTATTCACATGCAGTTGATTGTTGGAAAAACTTTATTATTTGTGTTTTGTTTATATTCAACTTTAACTGATTATGTGTGAAACAATCTTCCAAAGTATTCAGTGCTTCAAACACGCTTCTGGCTAATTCTTCAATACTATGTTCCTTGATTACTACACTTGTGTCATCTGCAAACTGCACAGTGTTGAAATCAATAGCATTTGCTAGCTCATTGGTATACAGAATATATAGCAACGGCCCTAAGATTGATCCTTGCGGAACTCCTCTCAAGATTGTTAATTTCTTTTGCATTGTGTTGCTTTGGGTCTCGTTTCGCTTAATGTAGAAGCATGTAGAATTTACGAGAGTTCAGATCTAATTTGAAATGACCCGTAGCCGAATCGATTTTGTTTTCGACATGTAGTTGAAACCCTTTCAGTAGAAATCCCAAAAATTTTTGTCCGGGTGACAACGAAATTATTGTATCAGGCGACATTAAGTTATTTCGAGAGTAGTAGAATTTGAAACGAAAGTACGGTTCATTTGAGCCGATATTTATATTTGTTTATGTTTTAGGCTCAAAAACCAAAGAAGGCTCAGGATGTGGAGTGTACTCTAGATCACTGAGCCTAAGGATTAAGATGGAAATGGAAAAAAATACCAGCGTGGTCCAAACAGAACTGGCTGGTATCTCAATCGCCACAAAAGAAATAACCAGGAAAGGAATTTCTGGCAAAAACATAACAATCTGCACTGACAGCAGACACGTCCTATTAGCCTTGAATAGACAACGTGTTACCCCAGGGCTAGTGCTACAGTGCCACCAAGATTTAGCCAAAGCCTCGGTAGATAATAACATTATCACGAGGTGGGTTAAAGGGCACGACAGGAGTAAAGGTAATCGCATTACCGATTCTTTAGGAGGTGCAGGAGGTGTGTCAGGCATGTCTTACGTGAGTACCCAGAGTTATCGTCAATAAGAGAGGCCTTCGCGGAGACCACCGTGAGACACTTCAAGGTTGCCAAAGAGAGTGTCTGTTCGGCGAGTCTTGGCCTACACCTGCCGATATAAAGGAGATATGTCACAGTGACCCGTCCACCTTCCTGAATAGGACAGGAGGGCCGATGACCTAGGAGGGCAACTCCTCGGGAGAATGTACAATGGGTCACATGTGGCCTAAGTGCTGTGGGCTTACACTCACCCTCCCTACTCTACAGATACAGATGTATTAGACCATCAGAAAGATTGTAAAACAATTTTATCAACAACATAAACCAAGAGACCATTTGCTTTCAAAATGGCGGCATAGGAGCCCTTGTATCCAAATTCGATACGGCGGCACCATGACGTCAAGTATGAAAATATTGCTAAACAACTTGATGTAGTGAGAAATGAAAGACAAAATTTGCTTAGGTTTTGAGTAAAATTTCAAGAATCAAAATTTTTCACCAATTCACGAACCGACATTTAATTATTTTTTAAATGCCATTTTCATTTCATTCATCTCATAAATCTTAATAGAGTTTTTTTTTTAATTCCAACATCAAAGTGTGCCCCATGTACTACTAAAATGTCAAAACTATTCTTCCAACTCTATCTTATGACCTGAAAATTATTTCGAAAATTCAAATAAGATAGAAATGAAATCTCTAGTGAAACTTTTTTTCAACAAAATACTTACCATTAGTTACAAGGGTTGAACACAGTGGAGTAACAATGGGACAATTCATAATTTGCCATTTTTTTGGATTATTTGCGCAGTCAGCATTCCTTGGGCCAGCGCAGTTGTAGCATTTCGAAGTTGAATTTTGAGGTGCTCCTGGATGGAAACAAATTGAATCAGAATAGAAGATTACAGTTTTTTATATCTTATTACTCAATATTCATCAGAAAAAGAGAGCGATAACGACATTGTATAATTGGAAGAGCGATTATATAACTTCACTTCACTATGACAAAACTGTCGACATTATATACCTAATAGCAATATAATCATATTAAACCATTACTATTATATTACATGTATTTGTTATAACAAATCGATAAAATACATATACCAGCGATTATTGTCAAAATCAGGAATATCATCAGATATGCTACTTTCAGTAGGGTAGAAAAGTTATAATATCAGGTAAGTTAATTAAGTTCCTCTATATCTGGATAGTAAGTCACACTAAGGCATCAATTATTTGACTGGTTCTGTTGGATGTTTAGGCAGCCGGTCGGTAGCCAAGCGGTTCGGCGTGGGTGCTTTGTTCACTCACTCGAATTGACTGCCGTGTTGGTCGGTGGTTCAAGCCCTAGTCTGAACGATCAATCTTCACTTGCTATCGTCCAACCCGTGTTAGGAATCACACGTTAAAAGGTAAGACCTCGTTAATCCTTAGCTCGCACAAGTTTCGACTTCTGAGGGTTGTCGTTCGTAGGGGTGCGACAGCTGGTTAACGGAAAAACAGATTTTAAACAGATTTAAAAAAATGATCCACACCTTCGGATCAATCACCAAAAACACGGCCGCCGCCACTGGTCGTCGTAATTCAATTGTGACATGGCCAAGATCGCGCTCAATTCGACTTGCGCTTCGCGAATGCTCTAGATGTCGCTTTGCTTCGAGAATAATTCTACCGGCTTTCTAAGACTCCCATTGACATATATAAACACTACCAACGCGCACATCCGGGATAGACAAGTGAAGTGACAGTGCGGTGCGGAGTCGATTGAAATAAAGCGGTAGACATTTGAATTTTAGTTTGAAGTTTTAGTCGAAGTATTTGGTTGTATTATTAGTGTAGCAGTGAAATGAAGATAGGTTTTGTTTATTGTACAGTGTAGTCAATTGTTGTCAAACCCACGGGGAAAACGTAACAATATGTTCTTGAACGTCAAACTTAATCATTAAACTGATATTTCGTTTCGAAATGAATAGTTTCTAACGGAAAATGGAAATAAAAACATGAACTCCACCAGAAATTTGTAATGTGGCGAATTATTTGATACTTTTTAAAAGTTTGTCATTCGATGAAAAAATGGGAGTTATTAAACAGAAATAGTTTCATGTCGCACCAATTTGTAAACTGCCTGTTGAAGTAGTTGTTAGAACATCGGATTTGAGTGTCATTGGTCCTGAATTGAATTCTCACCGACGGTGACTTTTTCGACATTTTACTTTCAACCACTCAATATTCAAGTCATCTGAAATTGAATGAAATAACGAAAATAGGTCCTGGATTTAATTCTCACCAACGGTGGCTTTTCCAGTTAAAAGTTCTACACATGCACTCTTACAAAGTTTGATTTTAAATTGTTGTAACCTCTAGTACACTTTTTATATGCTATTCTGTAATTTTATTCGTTTGTTTTTAACTGATTACGCCTACCAGATTTTCTATTTGATTTTGTTTTACACATTTTCTGTTATTCAGATCCACTGGGTTTTTGTTTGACACTTTCCTCGGGTTCTTCAGTATTCTCTTCTTCTTAAATATCCTCTTTAGGCTTTCAACTCTTGATAAGTATATTTCACACCGTCTATAAGAAGTTTATTTTTGAGTGACGCTGATTGTTTTTCGTCCGTTTTTGAGGACTATACATACAGTGCCTTTAAATTTTCTAACGTTCGAAAATATTTCTTGTTTTTCAGTATTCCGTACCAGCATGAGTGTATTACTGGTCTAAAAGGTGCGTTTCCCGATTGCGACCCTATTCGGTAGATATTATCAATGTCGATGTCTAGTAGATCGATTTCCAAATATGTATCAACATATTTTTTTATAGTCTTTCTCTTTTTCTTCTTCCTTGACTTCTTGTGTGACTTCAGCTTCTTGTGTTCCTATTTAATTTTATGAGTTTTCAATAATTTTTTTTCAACCTGGTAACGAATTTTCATTTGTTTGATATATTTTGGTATTTCATTGTTGCTTTTTTTGATGTACACAAGAATTTTTTTATTTTCTTCAGTTCTTTTGTGGCCATTTTCTTGCTTCTAAGGAATAATAAAATAATAATAAAAAAACTTTTAAAAGAAGCTTTTATTTAAGTGCCCTAGAAAAATCAAAATAAAATTTTGAATCAAATTAACCACATTCATTTATGACTTTACAGAATTGAAATTATAAAAAAAGCTTGTTGCGATGCCTAGAATAAATTTTTACATATTCAGTCAGATGAAATTTAAATTAAGAAACACTCTGACAGATCAACTAGGTACTGCAATAAATTTCAAACCCGATAAATCCTATGTGTGCAAAAAAGTTATTCAAGGTTAAAGTTCCACATTTTAAGCATTCAGGGCACTTTTATTTAATTACATTATGAATTGCTTAAAAGTTTAGTAGGTGCCTACCTAATTACAAAATTTCAATTAATGATTGAAATTATCGCGACAAGCTTTTATATAATATCAATACTATAAAGTCATAACTGAATGTGGTTAATGTGATTTAAAATTTTATTTTGATCTTATTAGGGCACTTAAATAAAAGCTTGTTATAAAAGTTTTTTTATCATTATTTTATTTTATATTTTTTAGTTTCAATCGATAGTTTTCGATCAATACGAAAGTATATACCGAATAAATATTTGTCAATCCTCCCAGAGCTTCGTTTAGCAGGGTAAGAGCTAATATACAACAGGGTGCGCTCCGGTGCCCTGAGGTGGTACGTACACGACATCATTTTACACCCTGATGCCACTTTTTTCAGCTTAGAGCTTACTCGTGCCTGACGAAACACCGTTCCGGGTTTGATTTTGAAGTTTTCCTTTTCCTAGACGGGTTGCAGACCAATGCTAATGACGCCCATCTCACTAAATTACACAAGTCATGGTATGCCACTTGTGCCTGTTGCTCACATTGCGTGATGGACCCTCTTACTCTGGGAACTTAGAGGGTGGTAGATAATAATATTTTTTTACAATGCAAATAAATATGGGTTCTTACAACCTACTACATCATTTATTGTCTTCTTTTTAGAGTCGGAAAGTAGGTATTTAAAGGTAAAAGCTTGATTGAATTTTTTTCTAGAAATATTTTTTTAATGAAGCCAACCTTGGATGTGGAATCTATTTCATGGTGGGCCTACCAACTGCCTATCATAAACGAATGCGTATACAAAATTTCGTGTCCCTGCTATTTACCGCTGAGGTGATCTCTCTTACGGAGCCGATCCTGGTAGCAGCAGCAGGTCACGTTTATGATTAACATGCACTGTCATCGGTTCTGGACCAGCATGCAAAATTTCAGGTCAATCGTATACCGGGAAGTGGGTCAAATTAAACTTGTAAGATTTGTTAACATACATACAAGTTAAGTTAATTGAAAGCTTTTTTAAAAATATATAGGCATCCATGCCACTGATGTATGTTGGAATCACCAGTACCATTGATGCTAGTAAAAACGAATATAGATAAATTTGTACAATAAAAAGCGACTGGTTTATGTAGTTCATAATTCAACGATCTATTACTGAAGGATTTGTATTCTGTTTTTAAGTTGTTATTATCACATAGGTTTTTTTTGAAGATGATTGACAATGTTTCATAATGAATTTCACTAGTTCGGACTTCCATTGTATAATATGTAGAATGATTTGAAATCCTCGAAACAAGTGAAAAAGAAGAATTGAAAATAAATAGCTGAAAATAACAATTATACAGGCTGATTCACGGTGGATGGCACATTAGACGTTTCTGGTGAACCAGACAACGGATCACTTTGAAAATTTAATGGGGGGCATATTCGGACATTCTCTAGTAAAAATCAAAGTTGCTACTGCTTTCTAATAGAAGCGGCAACACCGCATTGTCGAAAATATTTTAGTTGGCTAGAGAATGTCCGAATATGCCCTCCATTGAATTTTCAAAGTGATCCGTTGTCTGGTTCACCAGAAACGTCTAATGTGCCATCCGCCGTGAATCAGCCTGTATTAAGCAAAAATAACCTGCAATGAAATAATAGTGAAATAAAATACAAGTGCCTTTACATGCGACCACAGAACCGGCACCTGAGATGCATCAACTGTTTAAAAAAAATCTGTTTAAAATATGTTTTTTCCGTTAATCAGCTTTCGCCCCCATACGAACGACAACTCTCAGAAGTTGAGAAACTTGTGCGAGCTAAGGACTAACGAGATCTTACCTTTTAACGTGTGATTCCTAACTGTACCGTATTCTTTTCAATTCAGAATAATGTTTGGAATCGAATTGAAAATGTCTTATAATATTAATGAGTTATGATTAGTATATTAAATTTCTGAATATCGTATATAAACTGTTAGTATTTGAAGTTGAGTTTGAATAATTCCAAAATTCGGAATTAATGTTTATCAAAACGTTTTCGAGTCTGTTCAGGAAAGCCACATGATCAGTTTTAGGAGGTCTGTAACATACTCCCACAGCAAATTTTTTTTTCCCACCCGAATTTCTATCCACAGGTGTTCAAGGAAACTTTCATTTTCAAAAATTAAAACTTTGTATCCTACCGAGCTTTTAATAAAAAAAGCTACTCCTCCTCCACGTTTGGCGACTCTATCATTTCTAATCAATGAATAACCCTCAACGTTTGTAAAGCTGTCAGGGATACTAGGATGTAACCAAATTTCTGAAACCTCTAATATATGAAAATTTCTTGAATGAATTAAAGAATTGATTTCATTAATTTTCGGGACCAAAGAACAAATGTTTACGTGACCCACCAAAATGAACATATTTTACACTACTAAAGTGCCTCTTCACAATTAAAAAAAAATTAAATAAAAACTCGTCGAGAGCAATAATACGTGAGCCACAACAGTACTTCGTCACACAACTATCAACAAGAATGAAATGAATATGTATATTACACTCAGAATTGATTAAACAATCCAAATAACATTAATAGGATGAAAAAATTTAACTAAAGGTCTATAGCTGCCTATTACGAAGATTTTTCTTAGCAGGTACAGTAATGGTGGGATCGTCTTGTTCAAGCTGCCTCTTTTGAGATTAACTGCTTGCAATGGAGGAAACGCTGTCACTTCTATGCAGCGTTGATTTACTCGAATGATGGTCCGTCGGAAAATTCATAAAGGGTTGTATTTCCAGGTTGTCAAGGCTGAAGCTTTCACCGTCTATTATAAGGGAATAACCTTTGATAGTTGCTACTTTTCCTTGCTGCCTGATAGTATTTTGATAATGATAGAGGCGTTTCTTTTTCTGATATTCTTCCGCAGGATAATCGGGCGATATGAATATTCCTGTACCCTTTCGATTTTTGGCCTGGGTAAGAATAGCTTTTCTTACTTTAATGTTGCTACACTCAATGAGGATGGGATGTGGTTTATTCAGTTTGCCACCAGTGTTTAATCTAAAAGCATCCTTTAGATCCTTCTCTCCAAAATCAATGGAAAGCTTTTTTCAAATAAGATTAATTACCGATTTGTTTATGTCTTCACCAGCCAAATTGTAGATAATTAAATTATATTTTTTACCCTTTTTTCTACTAATAATATACGCCCTTTCAATATGCTATTTTCAGCTTTGAGCTGTTCGTTTTGTTTCACCACTTCGTCTAGGTTATTTTGTATCGTTTTTTTAAACACACGCAATTCTTCATTCATTAATTTAATCTGAGCCTTCAAACTTTCGTTTTGATCCGATAACTTTTGAAACATTTTATAAATATCCTCTTTCGAAATATTTTCCATGTCCATAGTATAAATCTGTGGTCCACGTACTAATAGCTGTTATCTTCAAAATAATAGGTATTTATTTACCAGCTTTTTGCAATGAGAAAAACACAATAAAATATGAATATCTCATTGATTTGCAAAAATTCTAGTACAACGATTGCAGATAGTAAATATCATATATCCATATCTTGTGCAGAATATTTTTCTGAATCGATCGATATCAATTATAAGGTAGTACTCACTCGTAAGTCTATCAATAAACGCCAAATTCGGCAGAGCACTTATTCACGATGTTAACTACGCGATATCTATTCTATAGAGATATTCATCGACGACCACTTGCAGGGAACGTTCTTACAGGAAGCTGGAGAGCCATACACAAAAATGATTCGACAAGTCATAGCATCGAAGTTTGGCCAGCAAACTCATGCCACACATGGACAAAGGCCTCAAAAATATCAAGCGCAACTGGAAAGGAGCTTTTTTTTCTCAAAAAATAATCTCCCAGAAAATTTTTATTTTCAGTTTGAAAGTATTGAGTATTGAGGACACTACCATTTTCCATTCAAAATGAATTCAATATCATTTGAGATAGTATTAGAACATATTAGATGGGCTGAAAAGTTTGTAGGCTAACACACAGATGGCGCTACTAGTATCAAATCCATATGACTTTTAGTTAACCCTAACCTTCAAAAGACACGTGTACAAATTTCACAGCTGTTGGACTATTAGTTTGTGGGCGAGAACATTTTGAGTGGAGTAACTTTTGTTAGTTTGATGACAATGGATAGAAAATAATGTTGTGTGTTAATGAAGCATTGCTTTTTGCCGGAAAAAAATACTGTTGAAGACAAAGCTTCGCTTGATGAATTTTATTTGGACTTTGCATCAGAAAAATCAACCATTGAGAACTGGTTTGCTATGTTTAAACTAGGAAAAACGAACACCAAAGAGGATATTACCGACGGAAACGTAAAAAAAGTCCACCGTATCACAAATCAATGAAAACGATGGCAAAATTGCATCAATTGGGTTTCGAACTACACCGTATTCTTCAGACCTGGTCCCCAGTGTCTTTTTTCTGTTTCCAGACCTCACGAGGATGCTAGTTGGAAATAAATTCAGTACTGACGAAGAGGTTCTCGTCGAAACTGAGGCCTTATTTGAGGTTGAATACAAATCGTACTATATGAATTTGAAGATGAAATGAAATTTTATCGAAATTTTTTTTTTCATGTAAGCCTACGAACTTTTCAGTCCAACTTTGATATAAAGAGTTGTTTGAAAAGGTTTTTTTTCGTGTGATTCAATATGTATATAAAAGTAGTTGTTTCAAGGGGCCTTTTTTCAGTTTGTGTCTGAAAATTACTTCTTTGCACGATTTATACATCTTCGTAAAGAGTTCATTTTGAAATTAATTGCTTTTCTCCCTTCTTTGGAAGATTCCCACATTTTTTATGTAAAAATGGAAAAGTAGAAAGCCAAAACCATTCATTCCCAAAAATTGATCTCTCCTAAAAACATACAGGTTGTCAAATCCAGAAAGAGACTTGAGAATTCTCATTACCTACGTATTCCCGGGACCATATCGAGATTAAAAGAGCTCTTCCCACATTTGACAAGCTATAACTCTTTCAATAAATTATTTGAAAAAAATCATACTACAGTCAAATTAGATATCCAACCTGCCTTCCACCAGTCCTTTGACATTAAGCAGATTTACGAACACATTCTTCTTGCAATTTGCGAATAAGTTTGTAGTAATTTCCTAATTTGATTTTCCAATTCCTTCATATACCGGGTGTTAACGAATCTATTAGACAAGTCATAACTTCTAGACTATTAGGTGTATCAAAATGAGATTTAGTATAATAGTTTACGTAAATGGTATGTGAAGAGGAGAGTTTTCACTTTCCGGTCACTTCCCGTTTCACCGAAAATGGCTCCAGTTCTAAATTTTTAAATAGAACACCCTGTATATTTTAAATTTTTTTAATTTCTGAGACGATTCTGGATCAGAATGTGATATTTTCGAAAGTATTTATGCCTACTTAATTTTTCCAGAGTCACTTTTGAAATTGCATCTAGGTGGCCATAATCGGACATAAACTAATCTAAGGACCTCAGGTGATATCAGAAAATTACAATCGGAGATTTTTAGTGACTACTATGTTAGATATGAATGAGACAAGTTGGCAAAATTACATTTTCATGTCTAACTGTTTTTTTTTAAATGGCGACCAGTTTTTGATAAGCACGTTCCGGAAAAATGATTTTCTGACGAAGCTAACGATACTAATTTATTTGCGATTAATTAAATATTACTGAGGAAAATACTTGATCATATTGTTAATTCACTTTTGTCAAGTGTACCATGAATAGGCATTATGCATATAATTTTGCAGTTATTTCCATCAAGTCTTTTTTGGAGATGTGACCTGTTCAAATGCCTGGCTAATTCAAACTTTTTCAGTCATATTTGGTGATGATTGGTCGCTCAAAATACCCCTCTTATTCATTTTGAATTTGAATGAATCTACAACTCAACTGGAAGATATGATATTTGGATTTGATGAAAATACTGGGTATTTTTTTCGTATAAGGAGGGTGAGATCCTGTAGTACTCTAATCTTGGAATCTGAATTATATATTATTGAAATGGTCAATTTTTAGCACACAGAAGTTGATTGCAATAACGTATAGGGAATATTTTGCTTATTTGCTCAATAATTTTTTCAATAATTATCCTGTACTTTTCTTTTTATGGGGGGTTCCATGTTGGAAGTTCATAATTAATTATCACCCACTTTTTTGGATTCAAATCATCTTCACATTTTGTTAGTTTGTGGTGGTTATTTCAGGTTGCCAGAAGACACATAGACAGGAATATAAATTAAGTACTTATTCAATACTCACCGGATTGTATATTTGTATATAAAACATATAACATCAAAAAGCTCGTTATTGTTTTCATTGCTGTATATGTGTTACTGTTTCGCTTGAAGATATAAGCCGTAGTACATTTTCATGAGAGAAAATTCCATATATAACAAAAATGAAAAAAAAAATTATCACTTTTATCAATTATATCAGTTTGATAAAGCAATATTATCGACGCTTACATAACATTCTCTATCTTTTCCACACTCCAATTAGAAAGGTGTAACTTTGCTCACGACCTAAGGGGTGATGGGGTCGAGTTCGAATAATAAATATATATACTTTGAAAACTCATCTGGATTTTTTATGATTGATTGGACGTTTTAAAGTTGTTCATCTGATTATATTGTTTTTTAGGTGCTTGCTGATGATCTGAAGGTTTTTCGTGTCAAATAGTCACCTAATGACAGCCAAATACTACAAAATAATTTGAATGAATTAGCTCTTTGGTGTTCTACAAACAATTTTCCACTCAGTTTAAGAGGCCGTGGGAGCACGTGACTAAATTATTATCTGTCAACGATATTTTCATCTCTCTTCTTGCTTGACTTTCTCTAGTCAAATTAATTAAAGACGCACGTCCCTGCTGGCAAGTAGCGGAAGTAAGCACTCGAAATAAGTGCGATGAGAATAAAGTACAGCATTTCTTACTGAATGCCCAAATTCGCCTGTTCATCAATTGGCAACGCTGCGCTGATTTCACTCGTTTCTCAGTGGCGGGGCCAGATATCGCAGTGACAGGGCCAGATATCGCAGTGGCAGTGTGCGTTAAAAATTGAAAATACGAAAATGATGTTCAAATTTTCAATCTTATTTTAGGTTTCTTTTGTTTGCAGTTGAGTTTGTGATTCTAAAGAATGTAGCTTTGTGAAAAAAGATTAAATTTCTATTTTTTATCAGAATAGGATTGTAAAATTAGTATATTAGATGCATTTTATGCTTGGCTATACTTCTAGAATAGCTATTTATGTAAAGAGTTAGGAAAAGTTTAATTTTGTATAACGACCTAGTAATTTATCGGAACTAGTAATTTATCATTTAATATACCACACCAAACGTTTGTTTTCTGATAGAATTGATTTTTGTTCTCAATAATAAAATTTGGGTTGACATCTCACCACCAACTGCAATTTTGTGATGATAGAACCCCATTTGTTGTAAAAGTAGATTCATCTCCAAACAGAATACATCGATTAAAATCTCGTTGTTCTTCTATTTCACTCTGAATCCACATGGAAAAATCATATCTTAAATCATAGTCTCTTTCTTGAAATGTACAAATGAATGTAGGTTTGTAAGCATGGTACTTATGTTTCTTGAAATTACGCTTCACAGAGGTTTTTTTATGCCGGTATAATCACTAATTTCTTGGGTGGACCTTCTAGGATTTTCTACTACTGCTTGAAGTACGTCAAGCTGGTTTTTTTCTGTGCATACAGGTTTCGTACGCTCCGTATTATGTTAATATTCTAGTGAGCCTGTCTGTTTGAAAATCTTCAAAATTCTACTTACACTTGAATACCAAATTTGTTTGTCTGGATATTTGCAGCTTCGCGCATTGTTTTATAACCGTCACCACAGATTAAAACTAATTCTGCCTTTTCAGTTAACGTTAATAATACTGGGCGAGGCATTTTTAATTAAGGACAAATATGAAAAAGTTTTAGTGGCAAGTTTTAAGAAGCAATACTATCAAACTACAGTATTGTTTTAGGGCGTATGTGTTTTTTGTTCATGGCTATCCGCGATAGATTTTGGATTGTTTATTGATATCTGTTCTAGTTGAGGCATTGTTGTCAGAATAAAATAAATTTTATACTTTTATTGAGAGTTTATTCATATGATCATTCAGTTAGTAAAGTATTTGCCTCGTTAAAAAGAGTATTTGTTTTATTCTAGAGTTCTGTTAAATATCGTTGCAACAAACATGAAGTTGACGGTCACCTAAAAAAATACAGATCCAAGTATATTTTACTAATACACTTTATTTGATGAAAAATACTCCAAACTGATTTGATTGTGGCTACTTCAAATACATATTAAATTAAAATAGTAAAAATTTGTATCATACGGGGGTAATTCAAAATTTTCCAAAAGAAAAAAATTTGAATAGCAGGCCACGACTTCGTATCTGAACATAACTTTTAAATCTAAGCAACTTTTCTCTTGAACATATTTCTATATTTTTTGAAATAAGGGTACTTTACTCTTGAACAAACGTTATATATTTTTTGGCCTATCCTGTATGGTGTTTGTCATAAAGCCATTTCAGGTACACTTGGTATAGTTTTGGAACACGCACCAACTTTTGTCAAGAATGAAATTTTCTGAGAAATCGATGATAAAAAAGTTTTCCATTTGTTGCAGACTTAGTGGACCACACTGTATATAAAATTGGATGTTTGTTGGTTGGTTGGTAAGTGATAAACTTCTACATCGCTCAACTGATCGTGATGAAACTTGACATGTATAAGTAATTTTTCATGGAGAAGGTTTTCAGGCTATCAATTTTTCTGTAACTCGCCACTAGATGGCGCTGTAGAACAATTTTTTGAAAGCCCTCTTCTATAACGCTCTTTTATAACGTTCGTTGATTCTCATTCTGTCACAACATTGGAACAGCAGCGATACAGCAATATAGTACTAGATGTCATAAAAAATAGTCTTTGCGTTACACTATACTATACCAATTCAGAGTACACAGCGTAATTCGAATGGTAGTATATCTATTACACATGAAGATTATTCGCATTCCTCGATTTTGTAATTTTTGTAACTTTTGTTTGTTGTTATTGTCCTAGAGATCTAGAAGACTAGAACTATAATCAAAATGAGGCTGTATAATGCTTTTATACATAATTATCTTTGAAAATAGGGACACTTGAGGCACTTATTACTATCTTCAACTCATTTGTTATATCTCAAAAATCCAATATATTGCTTTGCTAGATTCCAGGATATCGGCTACGGAAGCACATCTCCACCGGTAGTATAGAAAGTTGCATATCTTAATTAGAATCTAGAAGTGATTTCGAATTGGGGTGAAAGTAACCAATTTCAATTCAATGCCACAAAAATCCAGGCATCGGTTTTCTCCAAGAAGATAAATGTCTCCGAACTGGATATAATAATGTCAGGTCAAACAATTCCACATTCTGCTTCGATAAGTTTGTTGGAGGTTAAAATGGCCACCAATATGTCTTGGCACATTTATGCCGCTGGAATTGCAAAGGCTGCTTCTCAGAAGCTTGGAACACTGTTCAGAATCAGAAAACTGTACACACCTCAGCAGTTGTTGGATTCCGTCCCGAAAATAGCCATCCGCCTGACTGGAGACGAGAACATCACGTGTAACCTTGATAGCCTGGAACATCAAAGAAAGGTTGGAGATTTGTCTCTCTTTTATAGATACTTTCACAGTAATCGTTCAAGTGACTTGGCACATTTGATTCCACCAAGAGCGGTACATATAAAAAATACGCGAATTGTGGCTGCTCATCGTTTTGAGGTTCAACTTAGTACACCTCGAACTTCTCTGTTTAAGAACTCTGTCATCTGGAGAACTGCGTTTATTTGGAATAAACTTCCTGAGAACGTTTTTCCAATTGGATGTAATGTCCAGCGATTCAAATCCAATGTGAATCACACAGACACCGCTCTGAGAGCACCTTAAAGATTTTCCTGTGTTATGTCCTTAAAAAAATTATTCATATACCTCACGTTGCCGGTCGCCGGCTCTCAAATCCTTATTACTTAAAAAATATTGAGCAGGGAGAGTCGCCCGAAATCATTAGGGAAAAATAATGTATAATTTTTGATTGTTGTACTGAGATGTTATGAAAAGTCAAATAGGATCATGATAGTCGTTTGCCGCAATGCAAAGTGTCTGATGTAACATGTCTGCCGACGAAAAGTCATGTGACGATCTCTCTGATGACAAAAATTTCAAATGTTGTGAAAAACAACGAGTTAAAGTTGAAGTGTGCATTACATTTGGACATGAAGCTGTGAAAAACTATATAACAATAGATGAGAATGTGTTATTTGTTGTAAAAATAGCGGTATGGTAGAACAAGTTGAAAGCTTCTAGATTCATAATTTTTTAATGGATCAGTGATCAAATCATCAGACATAGAACAGAAGAAATTAGTTTCCTGAAGACAGTAATTCGAGAAAAACATACCATCTCATTGGGGAATAAAATTCTCTTGAATTAATATAATGTTGCACTGATGAGTAAAGCATCCATAATAACAAAAAGTCATAGAATGATCCAAATATCGGAAGATAAGATATACCAGCGTGGGGCATCAGGTGAGAAGATCAATGTCGGTAAAAATGTCACCGAAAAAATTGGAGAGAGAAAAACCATTGGACTCTATTATATATGAAGGATGATGTGTTTTCTGCCCAATGAAAACTTGGAACTTGATACATATTTCAACATTGAAAACAATCAACCTTCAATATCTCAGATGAAAATGGAAGAAAAGATTGAAGTTGTCAAAAGAAAACCCAGAAGAACTTGTATTATCGGAAAAAAAATCGGAATCTGTTGAAGGTGTACCTAAACATGTTTATTTAAATATACGTAGATAAGATCACCAAACAAAAACCCAAGATTTATCAAACTCTATTGAGAAAACCGAAGTCAAATATGAACCACAATGTCAGAAAATGAATGTTCAAGAACATTAAATTAAGTACCCAGGTTTTTAAAAGCACGACTTATTTTTCTACACTTATAAAATATAGGTTATTCGACTTAATTTAATGTAAATGACGCTTCTTTGATAAGTGATGATAGTAGTGTAAAGTTTTTTGGTATTTTTCTAGATGAATTGCTGAACGGCAATAGTCATTGCCAATATTTGACACCAGTTTCATATGCCAAGTGATTTTTTTTGAGGTAGAGTATATTTTGGGCCTATTTTGGTTCAAGAATCTATATCAATTTTCCAGACTATGTGAAGAATTCGAGACAATTCTTTCATTTCAAAAAAGTAGGTACTGTAAACATATCTACAAGTTCTTTTTTCATCGCCTCATTTAATTTCTATTATTTTATTCTATTGTATTGCCAGTAAAT